CAAAATCTGGAGCCTGTTCAGAAAGTTCAGAGAAAAGTTTTCAACAAGACTTTTTTGTATTATTTTGTTGAATATAATCTCTCCATGTTGAAGTAAACATGTTTGTCATGTAGCCCTCGGCACAGAAAGCAACAGTTTGATTTTAATTATTTGCATCGTTTCAAAGAAAGAACGTCAAACCCAGGACACACACTAATGAAAGTGAATACAAGTTTACTATGGTCCCTGGAATTAAGAGTCAGACACAGATGATTCCTTGAGACTCAGAGTGAGACACTTACATCAGTAACAACATAACATTATATAACATTAGAATTATAGTGGTTTTATTGGATTAATACATTTCACAAGTCTCTCAGCTCAGCGTTTCATATCACTGCAAAACGTTTCTCTAAAATAAAATGAAATATACAATAGACACACAGAACAAAACATTATTTAACAAACGTAAATAAACAATTAAACAAAAAAGAGCTGTCAAACCTGAACGTACTGTCTGACAAACAGTTGTATGAGTTTCTGTGTTAAACAGATCGAAAGAGAAGCCTCCAACAGAAGCTCTGGGTTGGACCAGCAGAGGTCAACAGGAGACGTCTGTGATCGTAGTCAATGGTTTTCTTATAGTCAATAAATCACATGAAAACAACAAACCCAATAAAATGAACTGATACTACTTGCAAGTATCGTCTGTGTAGAAGAAGCCAGATACCTCTGTTCATTACTATAAAAATGGCCTTAGACCTTTATTTTCTAGCCAGTCCCACATCCAACATACAGCCAGAAATACTCACTAAAATTCTCATCCACAGCTGAAAAGTCCCCAACAAAGGTTTGCTCCTGTTTCAGAGTTGTCTGCTTTGAGCAACAGTGATCGACTGTTATAGGAAATAACAGTTTTTCATGAGATTTCTTGACAATAGTGAAAATATGTAACATTAGAAGCCTTTAACCTGGAGACTTGCAGGTAACGAAGAGCAAAGCTGATGTTTTCTACGCTAAGATGCAGACTCACACTGATGAGGGACCTGAGTGAAATCTACGGAGTACGGAGCCCCCGAAGTCTTTTTTAAAATCTTGTGCACAAGTTATTATCTTGTGGGAACAAGAGACACAATCAGACAAGTTGTAAACAAAATCTTCAGGTTAGACAAATGTATTTGGCAGAAAAAAAAAATAACGATAAAATAAATAAATAAAATTGCGACAGTTGTAAACATCTAGATTCAATGTAGAGACTGACTTCCTGGTTCAGCTGTAACATACTGTGCACACACAGTTTTCTTATCTGATCACGTTTCTTGCCCCCACTGTTATGCAATGCCACCATTTTCTCTGATTGGAACAATTACTTTGGTAAGTACAGTGTTATTACATCTGCTGGAACCTGAGGCTAAAAGACAAAGTTTTAATAAATTAGAGTAATTGGTTTTAGAATTCAATTGTCCAGATCAAAAAAAACAAATACACATTATAACATTGAAGTAATACACCATCAATAAGTATTACATCAATCAAATATCTTTTTACATATATTATAAACAGATGAAAAATCTGTTTAATCCTTTTGTTTTGATATTATTGCATATTTATATTTTTTTTAACAGAGGACGGCAGTACGCAGTAAAGGATTGCATCATATTCGCTAACACACCACTACAACACAAACATAAAAACACAATATAACATTAACAAGAGCAATCATTGTAGGAACCTAAGGAGCATATTGGCACAGAGGCTGCTTTCATACATGCCCTGAACTCTGGACTTGAATCCTTCAACATTCAAACAGATTAATTGACAGTTGCAAATTTAAGCCATAAACCTTTAGACCTGAAAGAGATAATTCCCACCGACATTCGCATTCTGTGCTTTTCTGTGTTTTCTTCATCTTTGTGGCTGCTCTGAGCAGAACACAGAGTCACATGAACACACATCAAACAGCTGGAGGCTTTCAGAACAAGCTTAAGTGTGGTGTTGTTGCTGCACTTCTCTTGTCTTACGTGTCCATCCAAAGTTTGAGCCTGTAGCTGTAACCCTGTTCAGAACGGGGATACTGTGCTACTCCGTCAAATCTTCAGCCCCCTCTCTCTTGACAAAACAAAACGAAACAAATACAAATCTTGAAAAGCTTCATGTGATTCAGTTCGTGTTTTTCAGTGATGATACGCAGCATGATTCCAGGAGCGGTACCAGGAGCTGAAAGGCCAGAGGGAGGGTGAGAGGATTATTGACTTAAACAAATAGAAGTGGCACAAAACTTAATTGAGCCATTAAACCTTGAACATTCAAGAGAGTCCAACATGTTAGGAAACAGGCTTACACCAGAGTTTATACAGATATGTTATGCAGATCTTTTTGGAAAGCAGCAGGTTAAAGTTGTTTCCTGTTTCGGTGTCTGTGGGCTAAGATAAGCTAACCAGATAACGACCACAGCACAATATTCAACATTCATGTAAAAAACATAGTTTGTTGTAAAATCTATTTTGAAATGCCAAACAAAAAAACTTGAACAGCAATTCAAGTCTGGTCTGCATTACAGGGTTGAAAGGGAATAATCAGCCATGTTACCTAAAGATTGATACTCTGCTATAAAAGCCAACCCTACCCTGCATAATTACACATTTAAATAAATATTCACACACGTGATGAGGAGAATGAAACGTCTCTCATCTCACTTTTAGAAAGAAAACAACAAAATTAATTTAACAAAATATTGAATTATTTCTTTAAACACTTCAGGACGAAGTTGAAACAAGTTGCAAGTTAAAAGCTTTCATTCTCCAGCGTCTGCTGTGTTCAGGTGACTGTCTCTTACCCTGGTGTGCTGTAGGAAGCCGGGTTCACCTGAGACGATAAAGATCCTGAGACTGTGGACAGGCCGTTGGGAGAAGCTTCACGACTTAAACTGTTTGGAGACGAATTTGATGAAACTGGAAGGAAAAGTTCAAAACGATACTGTCAGTGAACACATACACCTTTTCCCATATATTTTAGAATAATGTGCAAATAAACTCTGGATGAGAGGATAAGAGATAAAAATGTTTCCACGGTCAAGATTAAACTTTCACACGATGATGTTGTGATAGAGGAACATCCATGTATTAGTACACAAGGTAACCCCCCCAGTGTCAGTCACGATGAAGTAATTCATTATCAAGAAACAGAACTTACCACCACCTGAAGTCAGAGGGCTGTAGGATCTGGATGCCGAGGTCTAAAACAGAGTGGAAATGTTTGAGATCAATCCTGCCACACATCAGGACTATAAAATATAATAACCTGTTCATCA